CTTAGAAACCCTAGAGGGCAGTTCTACTCTGTCCTATAGGGTGGCTGTGAGTCGGAATCAACTCGAGGGCAACGGGTTTGGGTTTTTTTCCGAGGAAGCCTAAGGTGAGAGGCACAGGCGCGACCTGCTGGCAACGGTCACAGCCTGTAGGGCTGCTAGCGTTCCCCCTTGCTAAGTTACTGCCGGCTCCTGCTCTGAGAGGCCTTTGGACACCGAGTCTGAGAACAGATCCGAACAAAATAGACTTCCTTCGTTTTTCCACCGCATCTCTGCTGCCACTCTGCCCAGCGCCTCCGCGGCCAGCGCCTGTCCTCACCACCGGCTTCTGCCCAGCACCACAGGCTCAGAAGCCGGGCTGCTTGGCTGCTCCGTGGTTCCAGCAGCTCACAGGAGGAGGGGGGGCCTGGGAACCCAACACAGCACCCAATGCAGGACGTCCTCCAAATTCCAGACAACCAGCTCTCGACTGCCCTGCCGCGGGGCCTCAAGGTCTTCTCAAGCATTCGCTAACTTCTTACAATCTGCAAAACCACAGAGGTGAACACCTCTCGCCACGTGGAAATAGACAAAAAAAAGAAAAGGTGAATTCAGCTGGAAAGAACCTAAAGTCAACAAGGGACTCGTTAGTGAATTAGGGCACACCCATGCCATGGGAAGCATCCCGTTAGGCTGGCCGTAACACCACGCCAGAGAGTGAAGTGGTGAGTTACTGCAAGAGACGTGGCCACCCAGAACATTCTGTCCGGCAGGCGTTCACTCCTGGATAAGACGAAAGAAGTATATATGCCTATATATAAAACCAGCTGCTGTTGCATCAACTCCAGCTCACGGCAACCCCATGTGTGTCAGGAATGCGCTCCATAGGGCTTTCAACACCGAGTTTTTGGAGTAAATTGCCAGGGCTTTCTTCTGAGGCACTTCTGGGTGGACTTGAACCTCCAACCTTTCAGTTAGCTCCTGCGTGTGTTGACCATTTGCACTACCAAAGACTCCATGGCTCTATACCAGGAACCTGTTGCCATTGAGTTGATTCTGACTCATGGCGACCTACGTGTTTCAGAGCAGCACTGCTCCACAGGGTTTTCTTGGCTGTAATGTTTATGGAAGCAGATCGCCAGGCCTTTCATCTGTAGCACCACTGGGTGGGTTAAAACCACCAACCTTTAGGCTACTTGTTGTTGTTGCTGGTTAGGTGCCATTGAGTCGGTTCCGACTCGTAGCGACCGGATGTACTACAGAACAAAACACTGCCTGGTCCTGTGCCATCCTCACGATTGTTGCTATGCATGAGCCCACTGTTGCAGCCACTGTGTCCACCCATCCTATCGAGGGTCTTCCTCTTCTTTGCTGACCCTCTCTTTTACCAAGCATGATGTCCCTCTCTAGGAACTGATCCTTCCTGATAACATATCCAAAGTATGTGAGACATCTCGGCATCCTTGCTTCTAAGGATCATTCTGGTTGTATGTCTTCCAAGACAGATTTGTTCGTTCTTTTGGCAGTCCATGGTATATTCAATATTCTTTGCCAACACCACAGTTCAAAGGTATCAGTTCTTCTTCGGTCTTCCTTATGCATTGTCCAGCTTTCGCGTGCATATGATGCGACTGAAAACACCATGGCTTGGGTCAGGCGCACCTTGGTCTTCAAGGGGACATCTTTGCTTTTCAACACTTTAAGAGGTCTTTTGCAGCAGATTTGCCCAGTGCAATGCATCTTTTGATTTCCTGACTGCCGCTTCCATGGGTGTTGATTGTGGACCCAGGTAAAATGAAATCCTTGACGACTTCAATCTTTTCTCCGTTTTTTTTCATGTTGGTAGTTGAGCCCAGTTTGTGCCACCCAGGGGCCTTCCACGCCATGTACGCCTCTCCCGAATATAGAAAGACTGGATGTAGATGTCGTAACTGCGCCCCTAAGATGTGCCCTGCGGTCATCTTCAGGACGTGGGCCCACAGGTGCTTTTTGCTTATCTTGGGGTTTTCGGTGTTTCCTGTAATTAGTATCTATTACTTTCTAAACTAGAAAAAAGGACTATCTTAAAAAAAAAGCTCAATAGCTAAATTTATATTCTTGTCTGAATTTTAAAAACAACTATGCTTTAAAATACACTTCCAACCAAAAAACTAATACACTTAATTTTTTGCAGAAGTCTCAGATTCACAGAAAACCCGGGAAGATGGCAGAGTTGTCAGGCGCCCAGCCCCCAGTCTCTCGCTTGTGGGAACTGTTACAATTATTGAACCGACATTAATACATTATTACTACCTGAAGTTCACACATCACTCTGGCTTACTCAGTTTTTCTCTCACCTTCTTTTTCTGTCCCAGGACCCCACCTCAGGACCCATGTGACATTTAGTTGTCACATCTCCTCAGGCTCCTCTGGGTGGTGACGCTTTCTCAGACATTCCTTGGTGTAGGGAGGACTGGTCAGGAGCTTTGTAGAACGCTCTATTGGGATTTGTCCTTGTTTCATCCACCAGCTCCATTTGTCACTGGTCCCCATTGTGAGGTTCAGAGAACAGACTGACCGTCAGGCCCAAGTGTCTCTCCCCACTTCCAGAATGCGTCCGCAGACATAGGGAGAAAAGGCTGTATTCATTGGGTGAAACCTCTTCCAGCCTGGCCCACAAGTGTCACGTTCATGGGCCCAGCAAGCCCGAGAGCCACCCTTGATCCGCTTGGCCTGCCCCAGACAGAGCAGTAACTCTCGCTGATTGTGCTGATGTCACTGTGGCAGCCTGCCACCTTCTGTGCACAAAGAGGACTTGGTCTGTAAGCAGCACCTCCTGTGTCCCACCTGGCCCTGACCTCAGCGTGGCGGGCCCTCCCTCCGAGCCAGGGCTCTCAGGCAGGGTGACTGCTGAGCCCTTGTATGTCCCCCAGCCTCCTCTCCTGCTCCAAGCCCACAGTCCACACGGGAGCCCTGTCTGTCGCCCTCCTAGGAAGCAAGGGCGGAGGCCACTCCCTAGGGGCCAGCAGCTGCCCTCTCCCTGTGGCCGTCCCCTCCCTGACCGCCTTCCCGGATGTGTGTGAAGTGTTTGGTGCAGACTTGGAGGCAAGCACTCCTAAGACTCACCCACCTGAGGCTCATCCACCTGCACTGGACACCCACGTGCACCCGATCTCTGGCCCAGTGAGCCCACTTGCGGCCATTTCCCCCCCACACACACCTGCCCGCGTGCAGAATGATGCCGAAACCAGGCTAGGCACGCTGCATGCACCTTTGTACTTGGTGAGCCTGTAAGCAACCAACTCCCTCCACAGGACCGGAGCGCCGTGCCAATGGCAGCTCCACGCGTGCAGGGAAGGCCTTCTGGGACAAGGCATCAAGTGAGGAGGGAAGCGGACAGCAGGGTGTGAAGTCACACATGTAAGCAGAAACACGCACACATGTATGAGGGTGTGTGTATTTCCCGGGTGATGGGTAGAATGCCTCTGGAAAGATCCATGAGACGGCAATGCTGGATGCTCTAGGGAGAGGAACCAGCCAGCTTGGGACTTGGCAAGAAGGGAAAACTGTCATCATAATCTTTTGCATCTTTTGAACTTTGAACCATGTGCAAGTATTCCCTGAAACCCAAAACCAAACCCAATGCCATTGAGTCTTGACTCATAGCGACCCTAAAGGACAGAGTAGAACTGCCCCATAGGGCTTCCAAGGAGCAGCTGGTGGATTCGAACTGCCAACCTTTTTGTTAGCAGCTGAGCTCTTAACCACTGCACCACCAGGGGTCCTAAGTATTACCTAGTGAAATAAATAAAATGGAAACTTCCAAGAAATGTTAGCTGAGTACAAGGGGTCTCTCTGGGGTAATGAGAAAGTTTTAAAACAAGACGGGCAATGGTTGCACAAAACTGTGAATGTGCTAGACACCACTTGTTACGGATTGGATTGCGTCCCCCCAAAATATGTGTGTGAATCCTAACTGCATACTTGTGGTTACAATCCCATCTGGGAATGGGTTTTGTTAACAAGGAAGTATTAGCGTAGGGTGTATTTTGAGTCAATTTCTTTTGAGATACAAAGGAAGAAGCAGAAATGGCAGCAGACAGATGCCAAGCCACATGAAGATCGCCAAGGAACCAAGAACGAGGAACTTCCCCCACAGCCGACCAAGACAGAGCCTTCCCCTAGAGCTGGCGCTCTGAATTCGAACTTCTAGCCTCCTAAACTGAGAAAATAAATTTCTGTTCATTAAAGCCACCCACTTGTGGCATTTGTTGTAACAGAACTAGATAACTGAGACACCATTGGACTGTTCACTTTCACACGGTTAATTCCCCGTTATGTAAATTTCACCTCAATTAAAATAAAATGTCAGCTGTGGTCACCTGTGTTAGAAAGTGGCACCCAGCTCTGGCTGGCCCTTGGGGGGCGAGGGTCCGTATTTGCTGAATGGATAGACAGAAGGGGCCTCCTCAGGAGGGTCTGGATGGGGTGGTGTCCCATTGAGCACCAGCCCAGGCAGGGTCTGTGCTTCCAGGAAGTAGTCGGGTCAGGGGTCCCCTGGGTCCCTTCTCCCTGCTACCCTGCAGGTGGGGGGCCAGAGGGATGGGGAGAGTGAACAGAACCCCCATTCAAGTAAGCGCGTCCACAGGGTGAGGTTATTTGCTTGTCTTTTTTTTTCCCGTATTTAAAAAAAATATTTTACAAAACAATATCATTCATCATGTATTTTTTGCTTATTTTCTTTTTAAAAAAATTAGAGTAATAAAAAAGTTACTTTATAAAATAATACAAAAAGGCAGGAGGAGCTAGGGCAGGCTGGGAGGGGCCTTCTGGGCTGGGGGCTGAGGAATCCAGTGCTTCTGGCTCCCCCTCACCACGGGCTAGAGGCTGGGGGGGGATGCGGTGGGGCCAGGAGGGTCACCAGGCCACAGCTGGGCTAACGCAGGCCACCTGGAGGCAGTAGGGGGAGCAGGGAAGCAGCTGGGGCCCCGTGTGTCCTGAGGAGGCAGAAGGCCTGGCGGGCGGAGGTGGCACGGGCGGGACCCCTAGCTCGCACTGGTCAGCATCCCCAGCAGCTTACTAGGCTCCAGGCCCTGCTGCTGGGCCACGGTCTGCACGTCGAAGCCCATGTGCATGAGGAACTGGGCCACGTTCATCTCCTGGCCCGTGAACTGGTCCCGGATGGTGGGGCACGAGGGGTTGCAGTGGGGCCAGGGGCAGCTGTCCACCAGGTGGACTGGGCAGCCCTTCAGGGGGGCCCGGCTGGCCTTTTGGCTGTCATGGAGGCTCCTGTCCCAACAATGCAGCGCGCGGGGCAGCGAGGTGCCTTTCACCTGGACATCCATCCACTGGCTGAGGGCAGAGACGCAGGCGGGGTCACACGGGAGCCACCCAAGCCGGGGCAGCACTGCCCACTGGAGAGGGGGGCCGGAAGAGGTGAGCAGGAGGGTAGGGGTGCAGGGGTGGCAGTGGGCATTGGAGGGATGGGGCCGGCAGACAGACCTGTGGATGATGATCTCATGCGAGAGGCAGGCGGGGGCAAAGGTGGCCCTGGAGGGAGTCGCGGTGTGAGCACCACACCCCAGCCCCTTTCCCACCCCCGGCTCCTTCTTCCCCACCCCACAGCCCCTTCCTCATCCCGTGCCCACAGGCACACCGACTCCATCCCCTCACCATGCCTGCCCCCTGCCTGGTGAGGTTCCTGCCTCCCTTCCTCGGCCCCATCCATGCCCGCTCTCAGCCGCCCCATGCCCCTCGTGCTCCGAGTGCCTGCTGACCACAACGGAGGCGGTCCGGGATCTTGACTAAGCTGACACATCTGGGCCTCAATTTTTAACGTCGGTGGCTAACAGTGCATTTGGAAGGTCTGGGCGTGACCGCGCGGGCTGGGGCTCCCTGCACTCACGCAACATCCTGGAGCGTGTCCCGCAGCTGGCGGCCCACATTCTGGATGTACAGCCACTGTCCCTCCTGCAGCGGCTGCCCGGTGAGGTGTACGTTGTCCACGGTGAGCTGAGCCTCATCAAACAGCCACTGCACCACGAACACCGGGCCTGGGGAGGCACAGCTCAGCCAGCTCCCCTCCACGGGGTGCTGGCCGCCACCCCCTCCCGTGAGCACCCTCTTCCTCTTCTAAAACCCGCCGCTGCAAGGCCCTGCCTTACCCAAGTGCGCTTGGTACGTCCCCTGTGGGGACTGCCCTCTGCCCAGGGACTCGGCTGTGACCAAAGGTGGTTAATGACACCTCATTTACTGACCCGTGGACCCCGCATCACCACGTAGGACCTCTCTCAACCTCCTATTGTCCAGGGCTGGCGGGGGGCCAGGCCCAGGGCCCCAGAGCAGAGAGCAGCACCAGGAGTCAGACCCAGGCTGCCTGCTCCTAAGTGTATGCCCGACCACAGAGTGACCAGCAGTCCCAGTCTGTGGGGACCAAGGATTCGCACTGCGAAAACCAGGAAAGTCCTAGAAGAGCTAACCCAAGTGAGTCACTGACTGATGTGTAGATTTGGCCCCTTTCCTGGAACAGGACCCACGTCCCCCATCCTCGGCTGCCCAACTCGACCCAGACAGCAGTTTCTAGGCTTCTGGGTTTTCAGCAGAGCACAGAAGTGTTGACTTCTTGCTGCCCTGTGCCCCTTCAGACTCCCATTCACAGCACAGGGTAGGGCAGACCCCAAACTACCCAGGCTCGCCACTGCCCCGTACTCCCCAGGCCCACCCCCACTGCCCGTTCCCTCCCACCTGCCCTGTGCCCCCAGGCCCTCCACTCACAGCGCAGGGTCGGGTAAACTTTGTATCCAAAGAAGCAGTTCCACTCCTCGCCCTCCTTGAACTGGCGCCGGCAGTGCTCCGGGACCATCCCTTTCCAGTACCTGGGGCCACACGCAGGGGTCAGGCTGTGCTGGGACCCCAGCAGCTCCGCCACCACAGGTCCCACCATCCTGGGCTCTTTGCTCTGGAGCACATGAGACCAGCAGGGTCCCCAAGGGTGTGCCGAGGGCCTGAGCTCCAGCCAGGCGGGGGTGAGCACCTGATGCCGCGGCGGACGGCCTCGGTGGGTGCACAGGCGACGGTGTCGATGCAGTCTGTGGGGCGGTACTGCTTGTTGTCCAGGAACCAGCCTGAATCAACCAGGCCTCGCACCTGGATGGCCGGGTAGCCCAGCTCCTCCAGCTGCTCCGCCACACGGTCCACGTTCAGCAGCACGCCTATGCCCCCAGCGCTGTGGGGGAAGGCCCGCGCTGAGCCAGGTGGCAAGGAGGAGCTCCCCTGAGCCCACTCACCCTGAGCCGGCGCCCCCATGAGGGGCAGGGATTCCAGCCATGGGCAGATAAGGTTCACTGCAAACCCATAGGCAAAAAGATCCTCCAGGCACTCCCCTTTCCCTGCTTCCCGTTCTCCTTCTCTGCCTCAGTTTCCTTATCTGAAAAGGAACTCCGTGGACTCAGGCCCCTTCCTCCACTCCCCAGATGTCCCCTGAGCGCCCCCCACATGCCTGGAGGGAGGTGGTTCTGATTAGGTGTGGTCCCTGCCTTACCAAGCTCCTGGACCCAGAAGGCGGCACGTCGGTGCACGGCTCACCACCTAACCACCACCCAGGTGAACGCAGCCCACACCTTCCCTCCCACTGGGCCACCATGGAACTCCCTGCTCTTCCAGCACAGACCACTCTCTGGACCCGAACCTCTGAGACACCCTGACGAGGCCTGCCAGCTTGCCCAGCTCTGGCCCTCC